GCACGGTGGCGGGATGGGCCAAAGACCATTCGACATGCAGAAAAATCAACGCACGACGAAGCATTAAAGCAAAACAGAAAGAAAAGTCGGGAACGTCGAGAAGAACAAATGCCGCCCACGACGGCTCTCGCGGCGGGCCACGCCCGCGCACAAACCGCGAAAAACCACGACACGGGCCCGCGAGCGCTCGGCAGGGGCCGCGCCGGCGCCCGGGCTGAGCTCTGCGCCGCCGCCCGCGCCAGCGAGCCCCCCGATCGCCGCCGCGAGGCCCGCGGCGTCGCCCGCGGCCTCGCCGCCAGCAGCCGAACCCGCCTCCAGGCCCGCCCCGCCAGCCAGCGCCCCCGCCGCCGGCGCGAGCTTTGAGCCCAGGTCGGGCGCGCCAAGCGAACCCCTCGAGTTCCAACGCCGCCCGCGGTCTCGGCCGGCCGGCCGCCGTGCCCGCCTCGCCCGCCGCGCGGGCCAGCGCCTCCGCCAACGCCGCGCCCCCCAGAACAAGGAAGTCAAGAGCGGGGGACAGGCGGGCAGGGTTGGCGACCGACGCCAGGCAGGAGGGTGCGGGCGAGGAGGAGCCAGAGAGAACCTCTGGAGGCGGCTCCACCGGCGGATCCGAGTCGGAGGCGGCGTTGTCGGCGCTGCTTGCGTGGGCGGCCCCAGCCCCTGACAAGAGGGCGCCGACATCCTCTCGGGTCGCACGCAACGACCATCATGCGCGCCGCTCGGCGCCATATCGCAGCACCGATGGCGGCGCCCCCCTGCCGCGCCGCCATGGGCGCGACCGCGGCCGACGTGTCTCCTCGCGCAGGCGGCCGCCCGTCGTCCAGACGACGGGCCGGCAGGCGATCCCATCAGCACCGGGCGCTCGCAGGTGCGGCGCGTACGTGCCAACTTTGCTGCACGCGCAAGCCGCCGCAGCATCGTCGCCCATCCCGGCCGCGTGCGGCGCCACGATGCCCACGTCGAGCGCCGTCAGGCGGGCAACGGCGGCGGTGGTGAGCCAGTCAACCAGACGGAGGAGCGGCGCGGGACAGCCGCAAGAGAAGGCCCCATGTGCATGGGCTCGCGGCCAGCGGGCCTGGCCAACGAGGCGGTGGATATGCATTACGCTCTGCGGCCCCAGAACCTCTCCTGGCAGATTGTCTTTCGAGAAGCGCCTGGCCACGGCGACGGCAGCCCCAGAGCAGCGCAGGAAGCTGCGCAGCAACGACGCAACGACGAGGCGAAGCGGGGCCCGTGGGCTCCGAGGTTGGATCGGCTGGGTCGTCGAAGCCAATCTGGCGCCAATCTGGCAGGCCCAATCTGGCAAACGGGGGCAATCTGGCGAGGGAGCCAACGCGAATCCAGCCTGGCGAATAACCCAAATCCTCCAACATGGCCAGGCCAGATTGGCCCTTGGGGCCCAATCCAGTCTGACTGGCGAGGGAGCCAACGCGAATCCAGTCTGGCGAATAACCCAAATCCTCCAACATGGCCAGGCCAGATTGGCCCTTGGGGCCCAATCCAGTCTGCCTGGCGAGGGAGCCAACGCGAATCCAGTCTGGCGAATAACCCAAATCCTCCACTATGGCCAGGCCAGATTGGCCCTTGGGGCCCAATCCAGTCTGACTGGCGAGGGAGCCAACGCGAATCCAGTCTGGCGAATAACCCAAATCCTGCACTATGGCCAGGCCAGATTGGCCCTTGGGGCCCAATCCAGTCTGACTGGCGAGGGAGCCAACGCGAATCCAGTCTGGCGAATAACCCAAATCCTCCACTATGGCCAGGCCAGATTTGCTGCCCTGGGGCCCAACCAGGCTAAGGCTATTTTTTTGTTGTATCCAGTCTGGCGAATAACCCAAATCCTCCACTATGCCACCAGATTGGCCCTTGGCAGCTACTGGCAAACCAACGCGAATCCAGTCTGGCGAATAACCCAAATCCTCCACTATGGCCAGGCCAGATTGGCCCTTGGGGCCAGTCTGACTGGCAAGGGAGCCAACGCGAATCCAGTCTGGCGAATAACCCAAATCCTCCACTATGGCCAGGCCAGATTGGCCCTTGGGGCCCAATCCAGTCTGACTGGCGAGGGAGCCAACGCGAATCCAGTCTGGCGAATAACCCAAATCCTCCACTATGGCCAGGCCAGAGTGGCCCTTGGGGCCCAATCCAGTCTGACTGGCGAGGGAGCCAACGCGAATCCAGTCTGGCGAATAACACCCAAATCCTCCACTATGGCC